AATTAGCCAGAATATCCTGGAGACAACGAAACGGTCCTTCGGAAGATTCGCAACATCCGTAAAACTTGACAATCCACGCGGTTTTTTCGAAAACATTAGGAACTTTGATATAAGAAAGAATTTGGGTTCATGACATAAACACGGACCCGGATGGTCATGGGAGCGTGCTCAGGAAGATCCGAAACATCTGTAAAAGTGGTCAATCCATGAAGCTGATCCTAGAGCTCCGCGATTTTTTTCAAAACCACGTGGAACTGTGATATAAGACAAACAAATTGGGTCCCCCGAAAGATCCGGAACATCCGTAAAAGTGATTCATCCATGAAACTGATTCCAGAGCTCCGCGGTTCTTTCGACAACACTAGTAACTGTGATATAAGCAATAATTTAGGGTTGTGAAATAAACATGGTCCCGGATGGCCATGAGACCGTCATCTGGAAGATCCGAAACATCCATAAAAGTGGTTCATCCATGAAACTGATCCTAGAGCATTAGGAACTGTGATATAAGAAAGAATTTTCGTTCATGACATAAACCTGGACCTGGATGACTATAGGACCATCCTCCGAAAGATTAATTAATTAATTTAGCTTTATTTAGGAGGCTTTCAGCCTTAGGCTGGTTCGCCTCCAATCCTCCGGAAGATCCAAAACATCCATAAAAGTTGTCCATCCATTTTTTTTAATAATTCGTTTATTTTTCCAGGCTCATTTGCTGTAGCTTTGCGGAGCCGATATTCATTGTTTAGATAACAAAATTACTTAAAACTAATGTTAGTAAAGCGGAGGCTGATTACTCGCGGCTATCTCGAGGTTAGGGGTAACAAATTGTAACAAATGGATGGCAGGGTAGGGATTGTGAACACAAGGTTTGGAGAGCAATGTGCTCTTGATCTCGAACTAGGCGACACTCTGATGAAAAAGACAAACATGGGGGTACACCGATGGGCAACTAACAACTTGGGAGAACACAAGATGACACTGGTCCATCCATGAAACTGATCCTAGAGCTCCGCAGCTTTTTCGAAAACACGTGGAACTGTAATATAAGAAAGAATTTGGGATCGTGACATAAACACGGACCCGGATAGCTATGGAACCGTCCTTCGGAAGATTCGGAGCATCGGTTAAAATTGGTTCATCCATGAACCAATGATTCTAGAGCTCAGCAGTTTTTTTTTAATCTCTTGTAACTGTGGTGGTGACGTAAACATGGACCTGGATGGGCATGAGACCGTCATCTTCCAGAACATCCTTAAATCCTTCCTCTGGAACATCCTGAGAAATGGTAAATCCATGAAACTGATCCTAGAGCTCCGCAGTTTATTTTTAAAAAAATATTAGGAACTGTGTTATATGAATGCATTTTGATGACCTAATAAATAAATAAATAAATAAATAAATAAATAAATAAATAAATAAATAAATAAATAAATAAATAAATAAATAAATAAATAAATAAATAAATAAATAAATAAATAAATAAATAAATAAATAAATAAATAAATAAATAAATAAATAAATAAATAAATAAATAAATAAATAAATAAATAAATAAATAAATAAATAAATAAATAAATAAATAAATAAATAAATAAATAAATAAATAAATAAATAAATAAATAAATAAATAAATAAATAAATAAATAAATAAATAAATAAATAAATAAATAAATAAATAAATAAATAAATAAATAAATAAATAAATAAATAAATAAATAAATAAATAAATAAATAAATAAATAAATAAATAAATAAATAAATAAATAAATAAATAAATAAATAAATAAATAAATAAATAAATTAATAAATAAATAAATAAATAAATAAATAAATAAATAAATAAATAAATAAATAAATAAATAAATAAATAAATAAATAAATAAATAAATAAATAAATAAATAAATAAATAAATAAATAAATAAATAAATAAATAAATAAATAAATAAATAAATAAATAAATAAATAAATAAATAAATAAATAAATAAATAAATAAATAAATAAATAAATAAATAAATAAATAAATAAATAAATAAATAAATAAATAAATAAATAAATAAATAAATAAATAAATAAATAAATAAATAAATAAATAAATAAATAAATAAATAAATAAATAAATAAATAAATAAATAAATAAATAAATAAATAAATAAATAAATAAATAAATAAATAAATAAATAAATAAATAAATAAATAAATAAATAAATAAATAAATAAATAAATAAATAAATAAATAAATAAATAAATAAATAAATAAATAAATAAATAAATAAATAAATAAATAAATAAATAAATAAATAAATAAATAAATAAATAAATAAATAAATAAATAAATAAATAAATAAATAAATAAATAAATAAATAAATAAATAAATAAATAAATAAATAAATAAATAAATAAATAAATAAATAAATAAATAAATAAATAAATAAATAAATAAATAAATAAATAAATAAATAAATAAATAAATAAATAAATAAATAAATAAATAAATAAATAAATAAATAAATAAATAAATAAATAAATAAATAAATAAATAAATAAATAAATAAATAAATAAATAAATAAATAAATAAATAAATAAATAAATAAATAAATAAATAAATAAATAAATAAATAAATAAATAAATAAATAAATAAATAAATAAATAAATAAATAAATAAATAAATAAATAAATAAATAAATAAATAAATAAATAAATAAATAAATAAATAAATAAATAAATAAATAAATAAATAAATAAATAAATAAATAAATAAATAAATAAATAAATAAATAAATAAATAAATAAATAAATAAATAAATAAATAAATAAATAAATAAATAAATAAATAAATAAATAAATAAATAAATAAATAAATAAATAAATAAATAAATAAATAAATAAATAAATAAATAAATAAATAAATAAATAAATAAATAAATAAATAAATAAATAAATAAATAAATAAATAAATAAATAAATAAATAAATAAATAAATAAATAAATAAATAAATAAATAAATAAATAAATAAATAAATAAATAAATAAATAAATAAATAAATAAATAAATAAATAAATAAATAAATAAATAAATAAATAAATAAATAAATAAATAAATAAATAAATAAATAAATAAATAAATAAATAAATAAATAAATAAATAAATAAATAAATAAATAAATAAATAAATAAATAAATAAATAAATAAATAAATAAATAAATAAATAAATAAATAAATAAATAAATAAATAAATAAATAAATAATACGAAGGCCGTATAAATTTGCTTTGAATTCCCTTTAAAGCTACACACTTAGAAAAATTTATGTAAATTTAGGAGCTCTGAGACTGACAAATAAGAGCGTCAATTTTGATATAAAATTGAGTCATAATAGACATGAAATTCAGCTCAATCAAACGTACTTTCGAACTTCTCAGTCTCGGAGCACTTAACTTGGCATCACATGTTTGCTTACGTCTCATCCTTTATGTCAAGGATGGATTCCGTCACGTGTAAGATTAGGTATTTCTAAGTGTGTAACTTCAAGTTTTCCTCGCAAATCCCATATATTCTTTATCGCTCTCCTCAAAATCACCTTGAAATTCAAGTCAGAAATGGGGAGGACCCAGAACTCCCATAATGTCGACATATTTGTCGCTTCATTTTTTTTTCTAATTCCGTTACCCCTAATATCACTTCACCGATCGCCATCACCCTCCGAATGTGAAAAGAACGAACAGCAATCGAAAGAAGGCAGAATCTTATTCGGGAAAATGGGCATTCGAGGTAACGGCATTCGGGGCAATGTAGCATGGATGGAAATTTAGATGTGATACCCTCGACGTATGCAAAAGATATGCCATCCATTCTTCATTTACATGTTGATTGGTACTAAGTTAAATCCAGAAAACACTGAATCTTCGAATTCACATACTCTGCCTTTATATCAAATCCATCAATCATGACGTTTCCCCAACATCTGCAAGGATCCGACCGATATTTTCAGGGTTTTGCTTATCACGCTTCATCTGTTGTTGAGAGGCTAAAATTGTATTGTACGCGTAACACTACCTAAGCACCCCTTCGCTTCCGTTCAACAAAGTATAACAAATTGTAACACTTTTATACACTGAGTTACGTAATTTGTAAACAGACGCTTAGTAGTACGGGAATATGATCAGAAAGCCTATATAGAAAAAAAGAACAATGAACAAAAACTGATTCCTAACCAACCAATAATGCATTATATATTGTATGGCAAGTAGGGCCCAGAGAAGTCGATAAATTTTCCATCTTGAAAGATTTCCGCTCTAGGGAATCGAACGACCCGCCCCAGCATGGTAATACCGTGCCTTTACCGACTAGGCTATTTGAGGCCCCACTTACCCTATCAATGCTTTTACAAAAAAAGAAATTCCTTCATCCCATCAATCCACCCTTACCACTCGGGATTCACATAACCTCAAAGTTTTAAATTAGATTACCTCCTTTTAACGTCCCCTTCCGAATTCAATGCGTCATCAAAAGGTGAAACATTGGCTAATTTGATTTTTACCTTCCGGTTGACAGTATAAACCGTCACAAATTCTTCGTCGTTCCGAACATTTCAGTCACCAGGGCACAAGCATGAATGAACACAAAAAAAGAGTAGAAATCAACAACCAGTAACAGAAACGGGTAATCGTCATGCAATTAGGCAATTCATCACTTGCATAGCTGAACCCCTCACTAGTTTCGACTAATTTCGAATGCAATAAAAGAGGGACGACCAAACTTTCGGGGGTGCCGCCGAAATCGTTGCAACAAACAACTCAACTGTACTTGTAAGTTGGCGTCCCGAAAATGTGTGTGCAATTTAACAAATTGGTTCCATGCGATTCCAATTAGCAATTAAGATTATTTGGTGCGATGGAGTCGTGGGGATGAAAGTGGTTTCTGAGGAATTTTTGGCAAAACATTTGCATCAAATGGCAGAACTTAACGCGATTTAACCCCTTTTTTTTTAAACAGGAACCTGAAGCAACTGCAAACAACGGAAGTGTGAACGATTACTACAGCAACAACAACGTTGGAGTCCGTAGCAACGAGCATCAGTCCGCCACGGTGAAACAATCTTCTTCCGCGGGAGAACAGCCAGGAGTCAAACTGGAATGCAAACTTTCCAATGGCAAAGCACACGAAAACAACAATATCGACATGTTCAAAAATCAAAACGGAAGTTTGATGGAACACCAACCGCAGCAGCATCAGCAGCAATCTTACTATGGTTATTCAGATCCTACCATGGGACGCTCGCGGTACTACGAACCGATGAAACTGAATGCAATCCCGGACTACGGCAAATCTCTTACAACAGCAACAATTTAAAATGGAAGGGAATTAAATTTGTATACTTCAGCATCTAGCGCTACATAGGATTAAAATAAAGAGCAAAGTGAAATCAATGTATAACGAGCTATAATATGGAAAACAAAATGACCTTTAATGATACTGCATGCGCGAATACGAATTACGAATATTTTCTCTCAATTCAGCAAAATACAAGCAAAACTAAACAAAACTTTCACAACATATCAGTAGGTGTAAAAACGGTTTCGGTTAAATATTGAGTTCTGGAATCAAACCCCCTCGCTTCGACTATCATCAAACACTGGATCTTTGATTTATCGATGCTAAGCATGGACACAGAATCTGTATTTATTTGACAAATCACCATCAACTGTAAAAGTGCTTCTACATATGCTATCAAAACTGAAACAATAAATAAAGAAAAATATTCTACTATTTTAGATGCGTTTTGTCGGATCTGTTTCAAAAGAAAATCCCACCTAGTTGCACTTTTTGCTATGCAAAAAATATGGAAACTAACAACACGCCTTGCCGGGCAGGGCTTTGATCTATAAAATAGCAAGCTTTTATCTGCTATGCTACCGACATCTTTTGGCAAGCAGCGGGAAAATATCTACAACACATGCGCACTGGAGCGGAAGATAGTGCCAGGGCTGTAAGCACGAGTTAGGGCATCTGGATTCCTGATGAAAAGCCTGATCCATTCTTAATTTGAAATGACTTTACCCACTCTGCTTGTACATTATCTTAGTTGGCGATCAAATGCCACGGATACACTTGCTTGACAAACTATGAACAGGAGCATTATTTGCATAATACATTATGAGCACATCCACACGCAAACCAAAAATCTATTACAATGAATGTTAGTTCCGTTTCCTATCATCCTCTGTTCATGAACATCGCAGCGAATGTTAGAAGTTGACCTTACAGGCGATGTAATGGTTTTTTGTCTTTTTCATTTCGTGTTCTTTCTACGCTTTCGACTATACTAGTAAGCTTGTAGAACGACGCACACACTTGTCTCGAATCTCTCCAGCAGAAAAAAGCATACGAAGTCGAGCATGCGAGAAAATGAGCGCTTCATGTTTGCTTTTAGGCTATCCATATTTAGAAGCATGGAGAGAGCAGTGGAAAAAGCACAGGTCTGATAATCGCAACGTCCGTGGTTCGAGTCCAGTTGGCAACCTTTTTTCTATTTTTTTCGACATAATTAATTTCACTCACTAATACACTCCACATTTTTCGGTCTCCAATTTTCTTACATCGGACCGCAGCTAGGTATATCGCATCCTCGGTTCATGTGGTCTCCACTAACATCCTCTGATGATGAATCACACATCATTGTAAGCGAATCTTACATCCCCCGGTTGGGTGCATGGTCACACTTGTATAGTTGTTGTATAGTTGCTGTATAGTGCTCTTAATTATTATACAAATGATGCTCATGCTCATAGTTTGTCATCCAAGTGTATCCGTGGCATTGCGATAATATAAAGCACGCATGTGACGCCAAATGTGAAAAACCTACACGCAAACCAAAAATCTATTACAATGAATGTTAGTTCCGTTTCCTATCATCCTCTGTTCATGAACATCGCAGCGAATGTTAGAAGTTGACCTTACAGGCGATGTAATGGTTTTTTGTCTTTTTCATTTCGTGTTCTTTCTACGCTTTCGACTATACCAGTAAGCTTGTAGAACGACGCACATTGTAGAACATTGTAGAACGACGCACACGCTTGTCTCGAATCTCTCCAGCAGAAAAAGCATACGAAGTCGAGCATGCGAGAAAATGAGCGCTTCATGTTTGCTTAAAGGCTAACTATATTCAGAAGCATGGAGAGAGCAGTGGAGAAAGCACAGGTCTGATAGTCGCAACGTCTGTGGTTCGAGTCCAGTCGGCAACCTTTTTTCTATTTTTTCCACATAATTAATTTCACTCACTAATCACTCCACATTTTTCGGTCTCCAATTTTCTTACATCGGACCGCAGCTATGTATATCGCATCCTCGGTTCATGCGGTCTCCACTTACATCCTCTGATGATGAATCCCACATAATTGTAAGCGAATCTTACATCCACCGGTTGGGTGTAGTCAACCAAAATTAACATTACATGGAAAGCTTAAATTTTACGGAAAAACAACATTTATTTCAGGGGAAAATAACGGAAATCATTGTATCTGTATTAGATTTCCTAACCTAGGTTTGTTCATAGCTTGTTCCTTTCCGTATGTTTGTTTGTTTGCTAGCTCTCCCTAATCGTGTGTGCGGTTTTCTGATCTGGTTCTAGCAGTTGGCTTCGAGCTCATGTGTTTGTATGTGAGGAGATTTTCATGCATATTGTCCGCTCACGGAACCATCGATGTCGTCGCTGCTTTATCCGTATCGGCACAGAATCATCCCTTTGTCGGAGTGAGGTCTATTGATCGGTGTTGGTGTTGCGCATTGCACCCCGGACTGGTATGGTGCGGAAATTCCCAATCGAATCCTCGAATTGATACTGATAGTAGCGCCGATTGCCGGTGGCGCAGATGTCGACGAGGGGATCGTCGGTCATGCACGGAAGCACGTTAGTTCACGTGGTGGATGCTGGTGGATTTTACCAACGCTCTGTCGGAGAACAGGTTAACGATGTCTTCCTTCCGGATTATTCCCAAACTGGGAACCTTGACGCTGAAGCGTGGGGTCTAGAGAGCGCAAAATGTTATGATGGGTGCGGTGTGCCGAGCAAAGCCATGTATCGCTAGAAGCGATGCGGTGCAATCTCCAATCTGCACAAAACGATCCTGCACAAAAAGCCGTCGAACGACTGTTCGACACATTTAAGTAAAATCTCCACACAAAAGACCTTATTCATCTTACCTTTGTATACACTTTACACACACAAAAAGTTGACCGCACGTAACTTCTAACCTAATGTTTGAACTCTACAGGATAACGGAAAGGAACGAGAAATGTAACATTAAATTCAGTCTTTTAGACTTCTCACATTTTAAACTTCACATACCTTGAAAAACACACCGCGACACTAAGTACACTTAAGTATCAACTACTCGCACTCTCGCCTCTTCCACGGTTCAAGTCAAAGTGAACGAGTAGAAGTTCCAGAAACCCTCATATAGATGTGGATTCAACGATCAACACTGGATCCTATTATCGCTCTATGGTCCTTTTTTGGGTCTAACGCTTAAACTCAGTTTTAAACCTAAAGGGTGATACGGTCAAAATTTGGTCAAGGGAAAACGCGTGTAAATCGGTGAAATCGTTTATTTAAAAAATCAAATTAAATTTCTTTTTCAAGTTCAATTAGTATAAAATTCAGGAAAAATATTCAGTTAGGCTTCCGCTTTTCCAAATCCGAATTGCCGGGCCTTACGCTTGACCCCTGCCATCAGATTTTGTACAGCCACCTTGTCCACCTTCTTCGCCGCAGAAAGCCAGTTTGCCTTGAACTGCTGCTCGCCCTTAGCAGTTTTTTTTGGTCTTCTTTAGGTTCCGCTTGACAATAGCCCAGTATTTCTCAATTGGGCGGAGCTCTGGCGTGTTGGGAGGGTTCTTGTCCTTGGGAACCACCTGCACGTTGTTGGCGGCGTACCACTCCATGGCCTTTTTACCGTAATGGCAAGATGCCAAATCCGGCCAAAACAGTACGGAACAACCGTGTTTCTTCAGGAAAGGCAGCAGACGTTTATTCAAACACTCTTTCACGTAAATTTCTTGGTTGACAGTCCCGGAAGCTATGAAAATGCTGCTTTTCAAGCCACAGGTACAGATGGCTTGCCAAACCAGATATTTCTTTGCGAACTTTGACAGTTTCATGTGCTTGAAAACATCTGCTACCTTTCCCCTTCCTTTTGCCGTATGAAACTCCTGTCCCGGAAGCTGCTTGTAGTCGGCTTTGACGTAGGTTTCGTCGTCCATTACCACGCAGTCAAACTTCGTCAGCATCGTCGTGTACAGCCTCCGGGATCGCGCTTTGGCCGTCGTATTTTGTTTATCATCGCGATTTGGAGTCACTACCTTCTTGTAAGTCGATAGTCCGGCTCGTTTTTTGGCTCGATGCACGGTTGTAGACGATACACCCAGCTTATTTGCGGCATCTCGCGGCATCTTATTTAAGAGATTGGTAAACTTATGACATGATCAAGCAGCTGCTCTGTAGGCAACACTGTATTTTGCAGTGTGACATAGTAGCCATGATTTTTGTGCCCTATTCAACGCCCCAGAAACACCAATGTTGCCTGCTGAGCAGTTGATTGAGTATGATCATAAGACATCAGCGCATTGCACCATTGATAACTTTCGATCCTTGCATTTAATCAAAAAGTGGTCTTGAGCAAAGTTGTAGCTGGGAAAATTTCCTACAAGTAATGTTGAAAGCTTTTGAAGCAGACCGATATGGTGAATTATCAGATAGACATGAACTAAAATCTTAGTAATTCCCATACAAACTTCAAATGTTTTGTGCCATCTCAGTTTCTCATAAAATGGGTTCAAATTTTGAGAGGTTAGACAGGATCCGATTTGGAATCGTTTAAGTATTGTGGAGCGAAAGTTTCAAATTTTGCATCACTCTAATGCTCACCAGTTCGGTGTTGCCATAAAATATGGTTCTGTACGTAGGAACTGTGAGGACATTAAATACGGTACTGGTGAAGGCCACACGTTGACAAACTGCATTCTTACCGACACTCGTAACGTATTGGATGAAGACACTGAAGAAAATGAAGACCCACTAAACATTCATAATGATGACTTCTTAGTACAATGCTTTTTTTTAACTAGTATGTTTATTTGGAAGGCTCAATTGCGTTAGCTTTACGGAGCCGATAGTTCATTGTTCTTTGTTTGTAACAAAATTCACTTAATTCTATGTCTAGTAGGAGTTGGGCCGAATACTCGCGGCTTACTCGAGGTTAGAGAGGTACATTGTCGAAGGATAGGATCAGGAGAGGAGCTTAAGGGTAAGGTTTCGTTGTCTCGTCAGAGCGTTGTCGCCAGTATGAATGGTAGTGCGGTTCTAGTTTCGTCTGGAGTTCGACCGGCTATGGTGGGTGACCAGTGGGCGACGATGAGACTCATCGAGACGGGGGGACAAGACAAACAAAAACTAATAAAGAGAGACGAAAGACAAAGGAATTAAATTCTTATACTAGACATTTGAAGAAACACATAAACCGACTGCATATAGCAGATATCGCGAGTTCCCAACACGTCTCTTCCTTGGGCCTCAAGGGTATTCAAAAGTCGCTATCTGGCGGCGTTATTATCCGTACATTGCCAAACTGCGTTATAGATGTCATCGTAACCGTTTCCACACCGACAGATGTTGCTGTCCACGAGGTTTATTCTATTGAGATGAGCATCTAGCGAGTAGTGGT